TGTTGTACGCTGCTCAGCCCTATGAGAGCGAGCTCCTGGATCTGCGCCCGACACTAGCTATGTAAATCTAGCGAGTCGCCCCCCCCCCCTCACACACGCAAAGCCACAAAGGAGGAGGAGGAGAAGGAGAAGTGCACGTACTCAAAGAAGAAGAGACGAGGGCAAGCGGGCAAGACGCGAGAAGAGGGCAAGTTGTCCCGCGCCTGTCCTCTGGCGCCCGTCTACTTCAGCTGAACAGTAGCGCTGCTCGGGCGCACAGGCAGCGCGCGTGCTGCGGGGAGCACGGGGCCAGACACGCGGGGAGCAGAAGTGGATGTAGTACTTGGTGGTGAAGACGCCGCAGGTTGCAGCGCGGGGGCTCGGCCCACCAGCCCATCTGCAAGGGCAGCGAGTGACGTACAGCAGCCGCGAAGTTGCAGTAGATCAGATCGGCGAATGAACGGCGTGTGAGGAACAGCCCAATCATCGGCCTGACAGTCATCGGCAGCAGGAGGAGCGTCGACGTGTACTCGGTCGCCCGACGGAGTCCAGCAGACAGCGTGCGGGCCAGACGGCATCAACAACTCGTCGTACATCAGCGCGTCGGTCTCGCTCGGCGTAAGCTCGTCGGACTCGCTCAGCGGGTCGGGCAGGTTGTGACCGCGAGGGGGCTGAAGGCCAGGGCCGTCAGCGTCATCTTCGATGTGTTTCAGCCTCTGGTCGAACGTGTCCGAGATGTCCTTCTTCAGGTTGTTGACGCGCAGCCCCAGCTGGGTGACTTGCGACTGCAGCTCAGTTTGGTGAGAGCGAGCTTCTGCGACTGAGATGCGAACGTCAGCAGCAGCAGTGTAAACGACCTCGATCACTCGGCGTGCTTCGTCACCAGCGCGGCGAAATTCCTGTAGGCGACCGTGAGCTTCATCTGCAGCACGAAGGGCGTCAGCTGCAGCGGCGTGAACTTCATCAGCAATATGGCGGATGTCGGTGGTCATGATGTGCGTGTCGTACGCGGCGCTGAGCTCGGCGCGTATGTCGTGGATCTCTTTGGCGACCTGCCTTTGGAAGGAGTCCATGACGGGCTTGATCGAGGTAGCGAACAGGGTGGACAGCTGCTTGGCGTGGGAGGCCGCTCGAAGCTTGCGAGAAGCTTGCCGTCCAGCTTGTCAAGGGTCCGCTTCTCGAAAGTGTGGAGTATGCTGTCCAGCGTCCGCGCGTCGAACTCCCTGTACATGGCGGTCGTGTCCGAGTCGGAGGAGACGATCGCAGGCTTGATGGAGGACTCGGGCTGGTCGGTCGCACCTGGATGGGTGGAACGTGGATCGCCCGCAGGGTTATCCACGTTGCACTTTGGACGGGCCGTCGAGGCCTCGGCGAGCGGGCCCAGCACGGGGAAGTCAGTGTCGAAGGTGTCCGCCCAGCTGATGCGCTTGGCAGGCGATGGCCGCGAGGCTGTCGCTGATGACGTCGCATGGGTGTTCGACGGGGTGGGGCATGGTGACGAAGTCCAGCGCTTGTGGCGAGCGATGTTGCCAGCCGTGTTCCAGACCTTGAACTCCTGCTCCTCCTGTGGGGTGATGTGGCCGCCAGCAGAAGCCGCCGCGCAGAGCTCGGAGCCGTTGCGCCTGTGGAGCCCCGACTTGGCTTCAAGCTTGCGCACGTTGTCCGTCGTCAGCGCCGAGATTTTCGACTCGCGAGCGACAGCCGCAGGAACAGCAATATGAACCAGGTCGGGACCAGCATGCGGCCGAAGGTGACCCTTGGCAACAGCACGGCGGCGACGAGAATCAAGAGCAGCGAGTGAACGACGCCCACGGGGACGAAGAATGTTCGGCACACGTAGTGAGTATGTAGAGGAAATTGTCGCCGCGCTTGCAGCGGAAGTCGACCACGGAGTAGCACCGAAGGCCGTCAGCATCACCGCGTTTGCAGTGTAGAAGAACGTGGACAAGACGATCAGATGCATGAACATGACATGGCCTCCGCGCCTGCAGAGTCGCCGCTCGGGTCCCGGGGCTGCGCGCGCGCGGGATTGGCACTTGAGCCAAAATGGCTACGGAAGGAGGAGAAGGAGGAGGAGGAGGAGGAGGAGCGCGCGTGCACCAAGGGTGGGGATGAGGAGAACGCTTCCTCGTTCTCGTGATTCCCGCGGTTGATGACGATGCTGTTCGGCTCCGCGAGGAAGAAAGAGTAGAGGATCATTAAGATCTCAACGGCCTGGCTCGGTCGGAGGTCCCTTCGCAACGCCCAGGGCTGAGGCCATCATCATCACCACCACCGTCATCGGCAGCAGCATCAGCATCAACAGAATCACCACCAACATCATCTCCACAATAATCATCACCACCACCACCACCATCATCATCATCATCACCACCATCATCATCATCGTCATCGTCATCAGCGTCACCATCATCATCGTTAGCAGCAGCAGCAGCAGCATCATTATCGTAATCACCATCTTTGCCACCATCACCCCTCATCATTCCTCGTCACCCCACATCGTCATCGTCGTCATCGTCGTCGTGAACCTCAAAATCAGCATCACCATCAGCAGCATTGCATCATCCCGGTCGTCATTATCATCATCACCGCCGTCAGTATCATCATCACCGCCAGCATCCTCAGCCTTTCACCGTCATCATCACCACCACCATCATCACCACCACCACCATCATCATCATCATCATCAGCAGCAGCAGCAGCATCACCAATATCAGCATCATTATCATCGTAATCACAATCATAATCGACATCCGCATCACCATCATCACGACGATGAAGAAAATCCGCAGCATAATCGTCATCACCATCACCATCAACAACAGAATAATCAGCAGGCTCAGCATCAGCATCCCCCTTTTCCTGCTCATCCTCGGCCGCACCCGACGCGACACATGCGAAGATAATCCAGCCGCTAGAGGGCGAGAGAGAAAGATAGAGAGAGAGAGACAGACAAACAGACAGACAGACAGCCAGACAAACAGACAGACAGACAGGCAGGCAGGCAGGCTGACTGATTGACTGACTTACTTACAGACTGACTGACTGACTGACACGCACGCACGCACGCACGCACGCACGCACGCACGCAGACAGACAGACAGACAGACAGACAGACAAACAGATGTTGCCTTCAAAGTCTGTCCGCAGAGGAGAATTGGCAAGGAGGCATGCAAGCCCGCGCCAGCGACTCGGACAGAGAAGCGGCTGACGCCCGCCCCGGAGAAATCCCGTACCAGGATTTCTCCCAGGGAGTGGGTTTGCACGCCCCCGAGCCGACGCCCCAGCAGCGCGGCGCCCGCTCGCCGCCGCACTCCAGCCCCTGGCCGATGCAGCAGCGGGGCGTCGCCGCGCCCAGGCAGCGCCGCGGGGGGGCGCTCCGGCCAGCGCAGCAGGCAGCCGCGCGCCGCAGCTCCCCACGGCTGGCCGCGCCGCGCCAGGCTGACCGGACGGCCCGCGGCAGCGCCGCGGAGGGCCGCCCGCCGAGCAGCGCGTGGCCGTCGCCCCCAGCGCCCCGCTGCAGCCGCCGCCGCCGGAGCCTCAAGAGCCGCCGTCGCCGCCTCCAGCGCCGCAGTCGCCGCCAATTCCCTGGCGCCGGCGCGTCGCCGCCGCCGGAGCCTGGGGGGCCGCCGCCGACGCCGCCGACGCTGCGGCGCCCGTTGCCCTGGCGCCGGCGCGCCGCCCGCCGTCAGATGGGCCTCCTCGGGCTCTCTCGGGACGCCTCTCGGAGGTCTCTTGAGGCCTCTCGGAGGGCTCTTGGGCTGTGTATTGGCCGTGTTGGGCCCATCTGGGGCCACGTTCGGGCCATCAGGGCCGTCTTGGAGCGCCTTGGGGCCTCCCGCTCCCGCTCTGGGGCCCAGCTTGGGCCTGTCCTGGGGCTCTCTTGGGCCGTCTGAGGCTCGTCCTGGGCAATTTTCGGGCTCCCCTGGGCAGTATTGGGGCTCTGCTGGGGGCCTTTTTGGCTGTCTTGGGGCGGTCTTGGGGGCGTCGTCGGCTGAGGTGGAGCGTCGGAAGGTGGAAAACGTGAGACACAGAAAAACACGATTCAAAAAAATGAAAATCAAGGATTTGGGCCTATTCGGGCTCTCTCGGGACGCCTCGCGGAGGTCTCTTGAGGCCTCTCGGAGGCCTCTTGGGCTGTGCATTTCCAGTCTGGAACCCATCTGGGGCCACGGTGGGGCTATCTGGGCTGTCTTGGAGGGGCTTGTCGAAGTCCCCTGGGGGCTTCTTGGAGCGTCTTGGAGCTCTCTGGGGCAGTCTGGGGGCTCCACGGCCCCTCTGGGGTGCTCTGGGAGCGGTCTGGGAAACGCCGGTCCTCCCATGCCCCCCCGAGCCCCGGGCCCCAGGCGCCCGGGCCTCGTGCACGGGAATCTCTATAGATATATAGATATATCTATATATATATATATACATATGTGTGTGTATGTGTGTACGTGTGTACATATATATATGTATACATACACATACATACATACATACATACATACATACATACATACATACATACATACAGGCAGGCAGGCAGGCAGGCAGGCAGGCAGACAGACAGACAGACAGACATACATGTATACATACATGCATGCATGCATACATACATGCATGCATGCATGCATACATACATGCAGATAGACCTACATACATAAATACATACATACATACATTCATTCATTCATACATGTATACATGAACAAACCAATACATACACGAACACATACATTCATACATACGCACATGCATTCATGCAGGCATGCATACATGCATACACGCATACACACATACATACATACATACATACATACATACATACAGACAGACAGACAGACAGACAGACAGACAGACAGACAGACAGACATACATACATACATACATACACACACACGTACGTACGTACGTACATACATACATACATGCATACCTACATACATACATAGATGCATACATATACATACACACAGAGACAGCCATACATACATACATATATACATACATACACACATACATACATACAGACAGACAGACATACATACATACATACACACCTACATACATACATGCATACATGCATACATACATACATACATACATACATACATACATACATATTTGCATGCATGCAGGGATACACAATGCCTACCTACATACATGCAGGCGTGCGTCCATACATACATACATGCATGCATGCATGCATGCATGCATGCATGCCCGCATACATGCATGCATAAAAATGTACGTACATGTATGCATGCATACATAATACCTGCCTACATGCATGCATGCATACGTGCGTACATACCTACATGCATACATGCATGGTACATACATGCATAGGTGCATGCATGCATACAACAACTGTACATGCATAATGCATAAATACATACTGCCTGCATACCTACGTGCCTTCCTAGCTACCGACCTACCTACGTACATACATACCTGCATGCATGCATGCATACATGCATGCATGTAGAACTACCTATCTACCGACCTACCTAACTTACTACTGGCTTACCTACCTACATACATACACACAGACATACATGCCGGCCGACCGGCCTAATTACTCACTTACATGCATGCACACATACATATATACATACACGCAGGCATGCAGGCAGGCATAAATACATATATACATACACACATGGATGCATACACAGGTGTATATATATACACAGATGTATATATATGTATGTGTGTACGTGCCGACAGGGCGCTGCGTGCCCAGCTCTGGCCGATACCCTTCTTCCTCCTCCTCTTCCTCCTCCCCTCCTGGGCAATGGAGGGGAGTTTTTTAATTGCATGTCTCGCCTCGATCCCGCACACAGTCGTCTTAAAACAACCCGACTGCTACACAGATTGAATGCTGCTCCTCTTCAAAACGTGACTATCGCCCAGAGGCCGCGCACATTTGTCGTCAGAGCTTCTGGGATCGGTCTCTAGATGTGTCCCTCGCCTTAACACCACGCATACTCGTCTTAAAAGCTCCCAGCAGCTACAGAAGGAGGTCAACATGTAGCTGGCAGCTGTCCGAATCGCTGCGCACATCGTCTTCAAGATTCCAAACCTTACACGGCATGAAGGGTGGGTGTGTCCTACAGGTGCCCCTCGTCTTCGAAACACGCACTTTCGTTGAGGGTCCAACTGTTACACGGTTGGAAGGTGGTTTTCAAAATGTGCCTCTCGCCTCAGCGCCACGCAAGGTATCCTTCAAATACAAGCGTGGAGGGCGGCTCCTTTTCAAACAAGAACTTTCGTGCAAGATTGCCTGATGGCCAGGAATATGACCCTGTACGACGGCTACACGGATGGAAGGCTGCCCCGTTTTCAAGTCGGGGCTACCGCTCGAGGCTACCTGAAGTCTCATGTCCAGACGCTTTGGGAGAACCTTTGAACGGATTTAGGGCGGCTCTTTTTCAAGGCGGTGCTCTGGCTGGGCAGTTCTGTGGACGTTGTGATCTTACCTCGTCGCCGTCCGCACTGCTAGAGGCACGGATGCGAGCTCCGTTTCCAAACGAGGCACTCGCATGAGTTGCAGGACAACTGGGCGCTCGTCTTCCAAGGGGGGCTTCCCGCGGTGAACTGATGCGTTGTAGGGGCTTGTAGGGAGGAGACTTGGAACGGGTGGTCGCACTGCAGCCCCGCGGATGCATCTTAGGTTTACTATGGTAATCTCCCTCGTGCTCCAACTCCTCCTCCTGCTCCTCCTCCTCCACCTCCTCCTCCTCCTCCTCATGATCCTCTGTTCCACCTCCTCCTCCTCCTCCTCCTCCTCCTCCTCCTTCTCGTTTCCTCCTCCTCGTTTCCTCCTCCTGCTCCTCCTTCTCCTTCTCATACTCCTATTCCTTCTCCTCCTCGTCCTCCCCCTCAGCCGAAGCCGCGTGCCCCCCCCGCGCGCGCGCAGGAGAGAGTGGAGGGAAGGGAGAGGAGGCGGAGGAGGAGGAAGACGAGGAAGAAGAGGAAGAAGAAGAGGAGGGATAAGACGAGGAAAAAGGAGGAGAGAAGGAGGATGACGACGAGGGGCAGAGGCGGGCAAATCTATCTACGAGCAGCAGCAGCAGCAACAGCAGCGGCAGCAGGAGTTGCGCCCAAGCGCTGGGGCCCAACGCATCCCCTGGAATGCGCAGCCTTCTCCTGATGCTTACGCGCGACCGCGTTTCGGGCGTCGTGAGCCCGCGGATGCTGCGCGGGCCGCCGTGGTGAGGGGTGAACAGACGGCCGCAGGGCGGCGGCGGCAGCAGAAGCAACATCGGCAGCACCCGTCACTCTTGCGCAAGCGAAACCAACTTGAGTCTGCTGTGCAATGACGTAGATGAGCAGGCTGCGTGGAGGATGGTAGCGTAATGGGCGTCGTGCTCGTAGGAACCGTTTGCCTCAAGCGCGGAGTGCTGCTTCTCGGCGACTGACAGAAGGCCTCTGAAACAATCACAAAGATCGAGAAAACGTCAATCAAGCAAACAAGCAAGCAGGCGTCCAGCGGCCGCCTGGTTTCCTCGGTCAGCTATGTCCCCGTTGAAGAGGTACCTGGCATGGGACAGATTTGCACTTGCCACTGAAGAGATATACGAGAGGTTACGCCATGCCTGCAGCACATCTGCCGTTTTCCTGTATGTTGCTGAATTCCGATCACAACCTCCCACATGAACATCATGATCCGTATCCTGTTCCTGGTGGCCCTCGTCACTCTCCTCGTCGCTCTCATTATTGCGGCATTCTGACCAGGCGCCTGACTCTTCGAACCGTCCCCTGCGCGATTGCCAAATTAGGCTTTGCACAGGAGGGGCCTATCATTTTGTGCAAGCGGGTCGATGGAAATATTATGCTGCAGCTAGGCTCTACGAAAACACCCCGCTCGTTTACAGATAGCACTAAAACTATCGCGCGCGCTTCGCGCACGCTCAAGTTCTAGCCCAAGCCAGGGGGGCGCTGGAAAATCTTGGACAGCGCTATCAAGCACAGGCGCGTGACATAGTCGTGTGTCCTGAAGGCCTCTTGGCTCGTCGTGGGGGCATCTGAAGGGCTTCTGGGGGGTTCTCCGTGCTTCCTCAACTTGCTGTTGGAGGCACCTCTTGGGTGTTTCTTGGGGGGGCGTCTTGGGGCTTCTTGGGGTCCCTTGGGAGCATCGTCGGGGTTCTCCGGGCAGTCGGAAGGGGACGTTCTGCAATCTGAAGCCGTCATTGGCCGTCTTGGCTGCGTGGAGGCCCGACTTGAGGGCGCCTGGGGCCACACTGCTGCAATCCGGAAGCCTCCCGGGGGCCTCCTGCAGACAGTTTTGATGCATCGAGGGCACTGTTGGGCAATTTTGGGGCCCCTTGTACGTCTCCTCGGGGCCTTCTGGGGCCACTTGGGAGGCTGATGGGGGAGCTGGTCGGACCACTTGGGGACTCTTGGGGCCTTCTCTGGGCCTCTTAGGGCGGAAGACTCTGCTGTTGGGTTCGCGTTCCCATTCTTGGGCCTCTCTTGGGGGCCTCGTGGGGCATCTTGGGGCCCCCTTGGGCGCCTCAGGCACCGTCTTGGGGCCTCGTGGGCCGTCTTGGGGCCCCCTTGGAGGCCTCTTTGGCTATCGTGGAGCGGCCTTGGGGGCCTCTTGGGCCATCTTGGGGCCCTCTCGGGGGCCTCTTGGGCCGTCTTGGAGACGTTTCGGGAGCCTCTTGGGCGGTGCTTTAGCGCTGGAAACACGAAACAGCGAGAACACAAAAAAACACCGAAAAAAATAATGAAAATCAGCGATTTTGCCCTCTCGGGGCGCTCTTGGGCGGCATCTTGAAGGCCTCTTGGGGCGTCTTGGGGGAATTTAAAGCGCATCGTGCAGGCCTCTTTGGGGCCTCGTGGGGCATCTTGGAGGCTTCCTCTCGGGGCATCTTGGGGCGGAGAGCTTGATTTTTTCAGTTCGCGTTCCCTCTCTTGGGCGCCACTTGGAGCCTTCTTGGAACCCTCTTGCGCCGTCTTGGGCGGCTCTGGGGCCGTCTCGGGCTCTCCTGGGCCGTCTTGGGGCCCTCTTAGGGGCCTCTTGGGCCGTCTTGGAGCGGTTTGGGGAGCCTCTTGGGCGGTGCTTTAGCGCCGGAAACACGAAACAGCGAGAATGCCAAAAACATAGATAGATAGATAGATAGATAGATAGATAGATAGATAGATAGATAGATAGATAGATAGATAGATAGGTAGATAAATGAAAATTCACGATGTTGCCCTCTCGGGGCGCTCTTGGGCGGCATCTTAAAGGCCTCTCGGGGCGTCTTGGGGGCCTCCGTGGCAATTTAAAACGCATCGTGCGTCGCCAGAGACCCCTGGACGGCGTCTTGGGGGTGTCTCGAGACCGTCTGGGGCCGCAGGGATTGCTGTCTGAGGGCTCCCTGGGGCGATTTCAAGCCTCCCAGAGGCGGGCCGGGGCCCCGGGGCCCACATTTGTGGTCGAGGTTCCGGCCCTGGACCCCCAGGCCTGGTGCACCGTTATATGTATATGTCGGCCGACAGCGCTGACGCTTGCCTCCGCTCTGGCCTCGGGGGCCAGTGGCGACGACAGCGACGCCCCACCCCCGAAGACTCCCGGTGGGACGCATGTGACGCGGGAGGTCCAGAAGTCCAGCTCCGCTTGCTTCGCGGGATTCCTTCCCCCTCCCCTTTGTCTCCCTCCCTCTGCCCTGACCCCTCCCCTCCCTCCCTCGTCCTACTCTTCCTGCTTCTCCCCCTTCTCCACCTGATCCTCCACCCGATCCTCCACCTGATCCTCTTCCATCTCCTCCTCCTCCCCCTCCTCCCCCTCCTCCTCCTCCTCCTCGTCCTCCTCCTCTTCCTCCTCGACCTCATCCTTCTCCCGCTCCCCACCCCTCTCTCCCTTCACATACCCTCCTCGTCCCCTTCCTTCTACTCATCCCTCTCCTCCTCCGCCACCTCCTCCTCCTCCTCCTCCGCCATATCCTCCTCCTCCTCCTCCACCTCCTCCTCCTCTTCCTCCTCCTCTTGCTTGTCCTCCTCCTTCCTCTTCATCTTCCTCCTCCTCCTCCTCCTCCTCCTCCGCCTCCTCCTCCTCCTCCTCCTCCTCCTCCTCCTGCTAGTCTCCTTCTCCCCCCCTCCCGTGCCCGCGAGTAGACGTTGCGCAGCTCAAGCGAACGCGCGCACGCGCGCCGCGCGCCGCGCGCTGCCAGCGTCTGATGGGCTCCGTGCCTGATGGAATGAGATGCCTAGCTGCTTGCCTGCTGCTCTTTCCACGGGCGATCGGCGGTCAGAGGTTCCCCAAGGCTTTCCCGAGTTGAGGTGTTCCAGAAAGGGTCTCGACTCCGAGGGATCGAGAAGCTGGCATCTCTTCCTCGGCGGAAGGCGGCGGAAGGGCGGCGGAAGCTGACGGAAGAAAAACGGCTCCACCGGCGGAAGAAACAGATGCGCCCCCATGAGATGATAACATGCTTGGATTCAGGGTTGCCAAACCCGCCAGTTAATCCTGAGCAGTACTGTGTGCTCCATGTGTTTGTCATGTGTGCTTTCCTGCGGTTTCCCCGTTCCTCATGTTTTTTCCCGATGCCTTCCATATGGGGCGAGCCAGACATACGACTCCTGCGGCAAATCTGACAGGAGGAGAGCTCTGCTGACCGATGGACGACGAGTGGCAGGTACACATCTCTCGCGTGCCACCTAACAATGGAAAGTCGGGAGTTGTGTGGGAGACGGTGAGACGACCCTTTGGGTCAGAAGGCCGAACTCTGGAGGGGGCGGCCGTCGCTTGACGCGAGTTTCTGAGTCAGCCAACGTCCGTTTTCAAGCGGCAGCTGTCTTGGGCGGTCGGAAGATACGGGAAGATTATGAGATACGGCCGTCAAGAGTAAGTCTGGGAGAGGGACGACTGGCAGGTGCGGTCCAGACGCAACCGAGAATGTTCAGGAAGGGAGGAGAGCACGCCGTTCGTCATCGCTTTGGGGGGAACCAGCGATGGAGCGAAGATTGCGGGACGGTTGCGGATAGAGAGTGGGATATACTCTGACAGAGGGCTCCTCCAAAGCAGCCTCCTCATCATCCCTCCCTCCTCCTCCGCCTCATCATCATCCTCATAATCATCATCCTCATCATCATCATCATCATCATCATCATCATCATCATCGTCATCATGATCCGTATCAGCACCATCATCATCAGCATCATCATCATCATTATCAGCATCATCATCGTCATCAGCAGCAGCAGCATCAGCATCAGCATCGGCATCAACGTCATCATCACCACCATCATCATTGGCAACAGCCACAACATCACAAACAGCAACAGCACCAACATCGTCATCAGTAAAAGCAGCGACATTGGCCGCAGCAGCATCGTCGTCATCAGCATCATCGTCAGCATCCTCATTACCCTCAGCATCATCAACAACACCGGCATCAGCATCAACAACAGCATGACAGCATGATCATCATAACCATCAGCATCATCATATCATCATCATCATCATCATCATCATCATCGTCATCATCATCCTAATCATCATCATCCTCATCGTCATCATCATCACTATCATCATCATCAGCATCATCATCATCATCACCATCCTCACCAGCATCACCCTCGTCCTCATACTAATCACCATAGTCAGCATCATAACGTTGGTCATCATCACCAGCATCACCCTCGTCCTCATCCAAATCACCATATTCAGTATCATGACCATCGTCATCATCATCATCAGAAGCAGCATCATCAGCATCATCAGCAACATCATCATCATCAACATCGTCATCGGCATCCTCGTCATCATCAGTTTCAGAATCATCATCACCAGTACCATAAGCAGCATCAGCATCATAGTCAGCATCCTCATCATCACCACCAGTAGCAGCATCATCAGTACCAGCATGATAATCATCATCAGCAGCAGCATCATCACCATCATCATCACCATCATACCTCACTGCTTAACTCCCTGCCTCATCCTCCTCTTCCTCCTCATTCTCCCTCTTTTCCTCCCTGCTCACTCCCTCCTACTCCTTCTCCCTCCCTCCCTCCCTCCCTCCCTCCCTCCCTCCCTCCCTCCGCCTCCACCTCCTACATACTCACCAACCTTCCTCCCACCCTTCCTCCCTCCCGCCCTCCCTCCCTCCTCCCCAACCTCGTTTGACCTCCCCTTCTCCTCCTCCCCCTCCTCCTCCTCCTCATCCTCCTCCTCCCCCCGCCTCGGCTCCTGGGGTTCCCCGAGGAGGCAGAGGCGAAGGGGAACGGGGGGCGGAGGAGGTGGCCGCAGAAGTCGTGGTGGACGTCGACGTCGCGGGGGCGGGGGCAGGGGCCGAGGGAGGGGCAGGGGCGGTCGTCGTCGTGAGGCCCTTGTCGTAGTCGAGGTGGTCGTGGCAGCGGTGGTCGTGCTGGTGGAGGCCTCAGAGCAGTAGTCTGGCCCTTGTCCTGGTCGTGGCGCTGGCGGCGGTCGCCGCGGCGGTGGTCGTGGTGGCGCTGGTCACCGCCGTACTGGTTTAGCGCCCGAGGGCGCTCAGCAGCATCTCAGCATTCCCCCTTTGGAGGGTCCTGCTGATCTGCCGCCAGAGGCCGCT